AACATTCTGTTTTGGTTTTTAACATCATATCCATTTTCCTTCCCTTTTCTCCACAGTCCTCTCCAGGGCCTGGGGCTTTCTGACTTTCTTGCTGCCTGTGGGCCGTCAGGCTTTCCGTTTGCTCCTCGCCGAGAGCTGGGAGCGCAGGGAAGCTCCTGCCCCGCTGGCTCGGTGCGCGGTTTCGCCGGGGATGCTGAGGGCAGGATGGGTGCCAGCGGGCCCCTCCAGCCCGCGCGGTGCAGAAGGGAAGGTGCTGCTGGGTGACCATCGCAGACACGGCCGTGTCCCCAAGGCTGCTCAACAGCCTCGCCTGATCCCCCGGGTCAGAATAGAGCAAAACCTAATTTTTCTCTTTCTGCTTGTATCCCAGTGTATTATTACAGTAAGGTTATTTTAAGTACTCTTGCATTCTCGCCCTGTCCTGCCTTGCCCAGCAGTGTCATGTTTGGTTACCCACCTTCTCTTTTTGACCAAATAGAGAGTTGGATTTAATACTAGCCAGGCTTAAGAATGAAGATTGAAATGCGTGACAGATCCATCAGGATGAAAAATGACAGGAGAGGCACAAATGCCACCCCCGTTTTGGTTGCTACACTTTTCTCTTGGAAAAAACAACCATGATCTGTGTACCCATATGCACTCAGACCTACTTTTTTTTTTCCTAACAACCTTGCATCAAAACTGTTATAAAACATATAGCTGCTAGAAAAAGAATGGCTTGTATGATGTAAAATATGTAAATAGAAAGTTTTCATTAGTTTAAAATCATAGTGCTGCCTTTATAGTTCTGACCCTCAGGGCACCCTGTATTTCTGCTCTTTCTCTCTTTCACTGACAAGCAATTAACTCTGCATATCTACAAAATAACTTGTATAATAGGATCCTGATGCTGGATTTTATCTTCTTTTGAACATTAGTTTTCTGTTTCAGCCCATCCTTTAGTATGTGCTCCTATAACAGCTTAGCTGCTCTGCCAGTTCAGTGCCATAGTTTGCAGGGCTTTTGTTGGATCATTTTTGCTAAATGGGCTATAGAGAAAGCCTAAGTTGCTGCTCGTGACAACCTTACAGTATAAACCAGAGTAATGCTGTAAACTTTCACCTTTCCTAAATGCTCAGCTTTGTATCGTGGCTGTTTTATGACATGTCTGAGAAGTAACAGAGACCTACACAAAGTGTTAATAATTATAATAGTGCTCTAGAGAAGGAGAGAGGGGGTTTTTCTGTAACACTTGGACCATTTATTGAAAGAGACAAAACACAGTAAAAGATTTTCAGAAATGTGGTTCTGAAATTCTTGATTTTTGCATTCAAGTGGGGAAAAAGCATGTTGCCCTGTATTATTATGGATCTCATGGGTTCGCAGGGTGCATTTCTCTGTGCCCACTTTCTAAAGTATGTTCTTTCTAATTTCAGAAATCTGTAGGAGATCTCTGCAATTCGGTTTCTAGAATCACCGTAGATTGTGGAAGAGCAACTCCAATCTCCTTTTTCAGGCTTCATGGGAAAATACCAAATTCATGTGATTCCTCATGTGATGGTCCTCATGTTTATGCTAATGTATAGCTTATGAGGAGATATGCTATCTCGGATCAAAAAGTCCAGAAGTTGGCCAAAAATCAGGGCCAGTGGTGTCATCCTGCTACTTGCCGAATGGAGGTCATGAGAGTTTGAATCCGCAAGTTCAGTGCAAGTGGATGGAAAGAGAAAGAAACAATTTTGGAGAGATCAGGCCTCCCCTTACTGCAAAAGCTGATCATTTTCCTCTTAGGGTGTCCATCAGGATCTTGGGCATGTGGTTTAAAATCTTCAAGACCAGGAAATTAAGGGTGATTTTCTTTTCTGCACAACTGGGCTTCTTTAACACTGGTAGGAAAGTGGTACCCACAAATCTGCCCCTCGCGCGGCACAGCTCCTGCTCCCCCAGAAAAATATATTCTGGAGCTTTCAATGCCTGCAATTCTGTGCAGAGTATTGAAAGTTTAGTTGGGCCAGGTGAGCTCTAGGGATGTTTTAATGGAGTCTGTGAGGATGTAGAGAATTAAAAATGGAAGTGTCAGCAGGTCGTGCTTGTACCAATTGGAAAATGAGCAGGAAAGATGGGTTTCAGAACTGCGATTCATTTCAGTCCTGTTAGAGTCACGTTCAGGACTGACCGTACTGCGTGCAAGGACAGTTTGCCCTGGCTCACAGGCTAGGGCCAGCTGTGCACGTTTCAGTGCATTTCTGTCTATAGAAGGAAAGTCTTATGGTGGAGAAGATCAAATGGAGAAAAGTATTGTTACGAACGTGTCTAAATCAACCTGATTCAACAAATATAGCAGATATTTGCGTCCACAAGCTTTCCATTTAACTTCATAGGCACAGAAAATAGAATATAAAATAAATGCACTGTAAACTTTTCTTGACTGCAAATATAATAGGTGCTTAGTCTTGGTGTGGGCTGACAGAGTATGAGGTTTTAGGCAGAGGAGCAGGGTTCTGATTATGTAGTGGCACCTTGTTTTTTTAGAATCAAAGGTGCATCTTAAACATAAATGTTTTGCTCTGAGTTTTAAGCAATGAGAATGTATATCAATTCATGTTAAAGAATTCTAAGTATTCCTAAAATGAGGCCTTTTTAAATGTTTGTGTTTTAAAATGAGTGGAGGTTAGAGCAGCTCCCCACAAGAAGACTGTGTCTGCTGGGAACTGGAGTGGGAAGTGACAAGATAGTTTCAAGCTTCTTGCTAGAAAGGGTTTTGCCAAGATAAGGGAAGAGAGAGGGAGGGCAGCGGGGAGTGATGCCGGTAGGAGAAGAAAAATACATTTCTTTTAGTGAGAAAGATAACCGTAGGCCTAAGCAAAAGCCACTAAAATGGTCCAGGAATAAACAATAGAAAAGAACAAAGGAAGTAAACGAAAGCAAACAGTGTGATTTTTACCTTGCCTGAACTTGTTCAACATAGGCAACACGCATTCACCAGCAAAACTAAACATTGCCAGTGTGCTTGGCCAAAAGCAATAGCTTTGTCTGATAGAGAACTGAAGAAAGCACAAAGATATAACTATTTATGTTAACTAGAGCTGCTTATCTCCAATGTGGCTAAAAAAGGGAAAGCTTGTCTCTCAAAGAGGATAAAAATTTAGTAACTCAATAATGAGACATGGTTCTTCCATTTTATTTTTCATTTGCAAAGTGCTGTATAAATCTTAACTATTAAAAATGCTCTGCCTCTGCATTGGAAGCTGACTTCCTGGTTTTCTCATGCTTTTTTTTTCCTTAAGTAGATTAAAAATACCATGCAATCTAAGATCATTTTTGAGTATTTTGCCTGTGCTAGTGAAAAATATAAACCATGATTTGTTAGCTCAGACTTTATTTATGGACCTCCTCTATCCCAGAAGGTGTTCAGTTTTCTTTTAGCTGCTGGACTGCATTCTCTTGAACATAAACCAGCACAAAACCGCTCACAGGAACAATCTCACTAATTATAATAGCACCGCTAATGTAATTACATTTATGGAGTGGGTTTATGAGCTGCAGGAGAGGGGTTTTGTGTCCCATACTTTTATCAATAACAGTCAGGTTCCTCTGGCAAATGAAAAACTAAACTTTAGTTAGTTAGAGTACCAGTTCACGCAGATCTAGCACACAGGTAACAAGAAAATTACTTCTTTCAATTATTCTGCATTCTTAAAACAAAAAAGAAAGAAAGAAAATCAAGAGCCCTATCCAAAAACATGCATGAGAGCATCTGCCTGACAGTTAGAACAGGGCAGTCATTGAGGGCTGGATCATGTTCACGCCGCTGCTTTGCGGGACTTAAACCCTCTGTTCCTTGGTTTGATGTCACTCTGCACAAGTACAGGCATTTTTTTGTTCTGTTCAGCAGCTGGCAAGCTGACTGGTAGTCTTTCGACAAGTAGTGTTCAGTCAAATGAAAGCTCAGTGTCTAATCATAGTCTTGTAGGAATGGTTTCAGGCCTGTGGGAATTTGTATATATATATATATATATGTATTTGCTGTAGAGAATGCAGATATACAAATGAAAATGATCCTGGTCATCTTACTCTGAGGATCACCCTGTAAACCTTGAAAATACTGCCTTTTTTGTTGTTTTTTTAGTGCATACAGATTATGGTGTCCATCAGTGGTAGAGCAAAGTTAGTTCGGAGTCACTCCCTCCTTCCCCATCCTCCTTTTTCTTTAGTGCATACAGATTATGGTGTCCAGTGGTTAATCTGTCCAGTGGTAAAGCAAAGTTAGTTCAGAGTCACTCCCTCCTTCCCCATCCTCCTCAAAAAAGCCCTTTTCAAGGACCACCTCTAATTTCTGTTTTCCATCTCAGGCTCAGTTCCTGCAGCCAGGAGGTGCTGGGACCTGATATTTGTCAGGAGGCTTCTGCATCTGCGCAAACATAAAAATATGCGGGTGCAGGACCTATTGCAAGATTGGAGGTCTCTAACTTGAGCAATTCTCAAACATAGCAAATCAGCTGTGAAAGTGCTGTTTCTCCTCATCTGTACAATGTAGGGCCTGTATTGAGATGTACAGAGTCAAGGGTGGGAATTTCTCCTCGCCAAAGCCCTGCCTGGCACGCTGGAGGGGTCATTCACCTGTTTCTGCGGATGGAGTTCGGGTTAAGCCTCAAGGTCTCAGTGGACGTCAAACATCTTAGCAGAACCGCTTTGGGCAAATGCATCAAAAATAATATTGTGTGACTTTGAGGGAGAACAAGTCACCGTGCACCTCTGCAAGTGCCATATGCTGCACATTACGAATGTGACGTGCTATTTGGTTCACTTTGTTTGCCATGCAGGGCTTGGGGCTTCTTGCTTAGCTGCAGGGACTGGTGCCATGCTGAGGACCTGCTGTATAATAAACAACCGAGTTTCTAGAATCTAACAAGATTAAGCTAATTTACCATTTCCTCCTAGTTATCCTGTGCCTGCTGCTTATTATCTAAGCCCTTGGAAGGTTTTCACCCGCTCAGCTCCGTGTTCCTTTGTTCCTGCAGGCTGTGATTCGTCTCAGAAGCTGGCACCTCAGAAGGCCGCAGGGGCAGTGGACGGTATCTTCGAGTCCCTCAGGGAGATTGCGAGAGCTCGAGTGCACATGAAACAGTTTAACTCCATCCATAACCCAGGCAGCAACACCCACCAGGCAAGTGGATCTTTATTTTTTCCCCGTGTTTATGTTGTTTCTCCAGGACACTGCCAAAATGACACCTCCACCAATAGGGCTGATTTTGCTTATGTACTGATCCCAGATGTGTCCTGCCCACGTGGAATGTATTTGTGTATAAATCCTCTAATCGACCTAATCATCAAGAACTTCCTGAAGTCCTGAAGCCAAACATAGGCATATTGCTGTCAAAGTTAATCAAGAATTTGTCTGAGGAAGAAATCTGGGATTTGCTTCGGAGCACAGTGATATGATACAAATGTCTGTATCCTGCCTGAAAGCCAGAACTAGGTCAGGACTCTGCTGGACTGAGATTCCTCATGACAGATGAAGGCAGCAGGCCTGCATTCAGACAGCAGTGGTTTTTAAGTCTTCTCCATAACTATGAGAGTTTATTCCCTTCTTAAGTAGGGGAAGAATGCAGGTTTTGGTTATAAAAATAAATTACTATATCAGTACAGGTCACTAGGACTAAATTTACTCTGTTTTCCTATCTTTCCACTCTCCCCACAAGTGTTTGTAAGTTAAGAATAGAGACTTTTCCAATGGAAAGTAAATACTGTGACTTACAGAGACTTTAAAACTTGATTTCATCCTTGAGCCAAAAAATAATCCTTCCAAGCTCTTAAGTATGCTATAGACCAGCAAAGGGATATAGTTCAAATTAAGCAGTGCTTGTAACAACAGGAGCCAGAAGTGTTGCAAATAGCACTGGAAAGCTAAGGTAAGGAAAACCTGTTATTGAAGTCTCTTGGCACATCTGACCAGTCTGATGTCTAAAATGGGGAAAATTGTATAACATTTAATACAGTTCAGTGTGGGGGCAGTCAGATAATGAGAACATGCCTTATAAAAGTTTCCTGGAAATGTAATTAGCATCGTTGTATTCTTTGGATGTAACTTGGGTTTGTTTGCTTAGGGCAAAGTGCTGGAACGCATCAAAGGTTTAATTATCTTGAATATGACCAACAGCCAAGGGCTGTTCAGGGGTTTTAGAGTAGCTGGAAAAAGCAGGCAGCTTATTTGTTTTCTGCCATAGATCTCTCTGATAATCTCTCTAATGGGCAGAGCATCATATGCGCCAAGTTAGCCCATATGAAGAACTGCCCTTCCCATGAGCATCTGGATCCCTGCCTGGAGAGGGGCTTTCCCACTCGCTCCGTCAGGAGCTGGGAAGCCTTCGTTTCTTGTGAAGAGAAAAAAAGTTTCCTGCCCTTAAGCAAGTAGGCAGAATTGAATGGCTTCTTAGAAGGCCTTTTCATAGCACTGAATTTTATATGTCTTACGTAAAAAGAGCTAATGAATTTTTACATCAGGATGCCAAATCAGTTAGTTAGTGACCATGCAAGAGGACGAGATTTGTTTTGTCCGGTATATTATAGCTACTGTCCTTGGCCTTTCATTCTTGATCTTAGGTATATTCACCTCCTTCCTTCCTTTCTTCCTTGCTTTCTTTTTTCCTTTTCGAATTATCTGTGATAACTCATGTTTGAGGTATGTCTGATAACTTTCTAAATCGTAACTTTTAAATAGCTATTTTAAATGAAATTTGTGCTCTGCCAAAATTTAAATTTGATAATAGTATTATTGTGTGAGTTTGAAATCAGCATAGCTATTGGGAGTTGTATTTTTTACTTACTGATGATTAAATAGATGAATTTCAAGTCATAAAGGATTTTGAAAGTTTTTGAAAAAATCATAGCTAAAAATGGCAGGTGATTTTCATATCTGTCTTTTAGTATCTGTGTATCCAAATTTGATCATTTTGAAGGGACTGACTTTTAGTGTGTGGAAATTCAGGCATGCAAAATCATAGCACATTTTTAACATCTTTAGAATAAATAGCTATGACTAAAGTCAGATGATATTTACCCTTTTAATTTCGTGAAGCTCTCTGTTTAGCTGTGGTTTTGATCTTTGCTTCAAATATTTCGTTTGTAACATCTTTCTGATCTTCTGCAGTACAATGAAAATATTAAACAGATTTTTGTACGTAGAACTTCATGCTTGCATGTACATTTTCAAACATTTATTGCGTGACTAGATTTGGCACAAATCTTGGCATGTTCTACTGAAAGACACTGCAGCTAATGTCTCTTGTAACTTGCTTTGTTGGCTCAATTAAAAATTATGCTCTTGTGTTGTGAGAAGGACTAGAAGAGTTCTATAAATCTTTGCTGACAGAATTGTTTTCAAAAAATGTAGGTTTTGTTTCTCACTGTAAACCGGTAGATGAAAAATATCTTTAATTACTGAGAGTACTTTAAAAATTTAGCTCCAAGTTATATAACCTTCTTGCTTTTATTTTCCATCCCTTTTTATGCTTATCAAGCATGATGGCTCTTGTAGATGTCCTCCCTGCAAAATGAATGACGTAACACTCAATCTTTTAAAGAAATCTAGGAATGATGCATTCCTGGACTGGTTCCAAAAAAAAAATAAAGTACTAATTTGAAAGCTGCTAATTTTCTCAGACTGTTGCACTTCCTGAAACCATGTGGTTCTGCTGCAGTTTTGGCAAAATTGTGAAAGTAGCAAGCTGATACCCAATCTACAAAACTGAGCAATGCAGAATTTTCATTGAAGAGGATCTTTCCTTGATTCTCCAAAATTTTCATCTTCAGAATGGTTCAGACCATGCATAAAGGGGTCTAAACATTTCTGGACTATTAACTCATGTTCAGCACAGGTTAGTGTGTCTGGAAAGAGATCAGATACAAGTGCTTGATGCTCTGAAAAGAATTGGGTGTTGCAGTTTGCTTTCTGGATAGATTTCTGTGTCACTTGGAAAACTTCCACTTTCAAGTATGTTGCTCTATCTATCTGCTTTCTTTTCTTACTTTGTTGATTGTATCAGAATTTAGGCAAAAGAAATTACCGATATTGGCAGGGTGATTTGGTCTTTTTTCACGAGACTTTCCACAGGAGCAAGTTGAGCAAGTTTGTTTTGGTTTGTTTTGGTTTGGTTTTTTTGCATGCCTTGGCCATGGAGGTTGAAGGAGTAATAAGGCTTCTTGGTTCTGCTCTGCCAGGAGGGAGAAACAAGCAGGTTGCCTCCTACTCAGCCCTGCTGATATCCAGGCTTCAGTCATGACATGACACTTACCATATCATGACAGGTGTTTGAGGGAAGGCAGCAGCGGGCCAGTAAGCAAACCCTCCTAAAAATCCCTATTTAGATGTTTTACAAAGGAGGTTTTCCAGTGGGAATTTAGATGTTCCAAAGGGGATGAGACTTTTGGGTGTGTGCAATGAGCAGCAGAGCATCATCCTTGTGGTTACCCTTTTCCATATTCTTAAAGGACTGGGGAAATTAGAAGCCTCACTTTCTTCTTTGCTTCTGTTCACTTGTATCCCTGTATACCCTGTATCCACTCACAGGCTAGAGAAAATGTGTGACTGTCTTCCTGTCTTTCCAGTTTGCACATGCTAAGTTTGCACATCTGTTAAGGTCCCAGAGATCACCGCTGCTTCAGTCATTTCTCTGAAGTCTCTGAGCAGTTTTCTTTCTAGAATAAATATTTTCCTTTCCTTTAATGGAAATACAGCATTTAGAAAAGCAGCAGTACAAGGCTTGGCAGCTTTACTCACAATATGCTATTCTTTTTGTACAGGCTTCTTACAAACCTCTGCTGAAACAGGTAGTGGAAGAGATCTGTAATTCTGATCGACCTGATCCTGTTGATATTGAGCATGTGTCGTCAGGCCTCACTGATCTCCTTAAAACTGGATTCAGCATGTTCATGAAGGTAAGCCAGGCTTCCCGAGCCCATCTGTAGGATTTTCCAAAGATCAGAGCGTAACCATGCAATTATGTATTTTATGTACCTGAACTGATATTGTTCAGAAGAACCTCGGCGGCAATTACGAGAGTTGAATCCTTATGGGGAGCTCGAGATTCATTGCAGGCACAGAATGGGCAGCCCCTACAGAAACAAAACAAGAGGAATGGAGCAGAACGGACATCTGAGAAGGGTTGTTTCAGAGCAAGTTAGTCTGAGGCACAAAATCTCATGTGCCTAAAGTCCTGCCTTCAGCAGTCTCCACCTAGCATTGCAGTGGATTTTCAAAATGCCCTGAAACAGAAGAGGGTAGCTGTAGAAACAGGGACTCAGTGTTCTTTCTATTCATGTATGAGAACTGAAAAAAAAAAAAGATGCAGCTTCTCCAAAAATAGTCGAAGACAGTTGCTGAACTGTCAGAGTAAGCAAGCTGGTGCACACAAGTGATTTCTGAAATAACTGATTGTATTTACCAGTAATTCTCACAGTTGCATTTGTTTCATGGTATTTGGTTTTATTTTTTTAAGCAGGAACATAGCTTTTTAGCAGGAACATGGCTTTCTTTGCCAAAAAGCAACAGCAAGAAATATATGTATTCCAGAAAGTCTGAATGTTCGTATGTACCTGTGTCTCTGTGTGTCACAGAAGTAAATACAGAGATATCCAACTCACAGAGACCCCCGTTGCACTTTCTGCTGCATTAACATCAAACAGAATACGCCAAAGGCAGGATTAACTGAGATCCCTACAGATGGGGGCTTCAGGGAAGCAGTGAGGCAGAATCCATCAGCCTGACAGCCAGTGTCTCCATTTCTAGTAACTAGTCAGGGGAGGAAGAGGAGGAGGTAGCCTTGTGGAGGTTTGCAGAAAGCTCCTCACAGGCTGGAGGCAGAACACAGGAAAGAACACAAAATATGTTTTTGAGAACGTAACAAATGGTCAGTGAGGGATCATAGTTATAGGATGAATTTTCTATATGAGAGGATTAAACTTTTCTATACAGAACAGACAAGTTGACAGCTTGAGAAAGGTCTCTTCCCTGCCTCTTTCTCCATCAAGATGTGACAGGCATGAAAAGCATTGAAATAAAAGGCAAGCAGCTTCTATTAGATGTGAAAGAAAAGTAGAATATTGCAGAGAACTGTAAGAAAATTGTAAGATGATAAAAATATTGGATGCATATGTGATGTAAAATCTGTGTTTTATCTGTACAAGAAGGGTGTTGTACCAATGGAAACCTGACCAGGCAGGTAGATAAAAGACTGATCTCTGAGATGCTATGTACTTAGTATCTACAAGATTTAAGCAATCTGTATTTTTGAAGACCTGGAGAGAGTTTTAAGATGATGGCAGATTAATAGGCCTATTAAGAGTAAGATGATTGGTATCCATAGCACTTGAAAAGTAAAGAGCAAAAGACTTAAAATACTAATTAAGTCAAACTAAGCATAGCTAGACCACCAGACCACCACGAAGAGATGTTAGGGACAGGTTTATTTTGGAGAAGAGGAAACCAATCTGAGTTAGAGAGGTGGGTCAGCACAGGGATGGTAGCTGGATGTACGTCCAAATTGCCAGCAGATTAGTGGGAGAAAAGGCAAGAGAGAAGAAAAAAAAAGAAAGAAAGAAAAAAGGACCTGCTAAGGCTGCTTTGAAGGACAGCAGGAGTGATGAGTAAGGACACAAGCTGAGAGTCATTTAGAGAGGCAAGCAAAGGTTATTGTTATTTCATTGCAGGAGTATCAAGACAATCTCATAAAGTCAGGTTGGACTCTCTGAAATGTTTATCATCTGAAAAGTCAGTGTGAGCTCAGGTTTCCTCGGTCCTGTGACATGTGCTGGCAAACTGCTCTAGCTCCTGAATTTCTGTCATGCAGAGAAGGTAGGGTCCTGCTACAGCATGAAGAATAGGAAAAACAAGAAAAAGCAGTGAAAGAAAAGCAGAGGACAGAAAGCAGGAGATGAAATAAAACAAAGGTGAAATCTTCCTCTTTCTTGTCCTTCCCTCGTTCTTATTTTTCTTTCTTTTAGGCTGCTGTGGTTAGCAAAACTTACATTAGGGGTAGAACGTTGTACTTGCTTAGAAGGAGGGAACTGCTGTGTTCCAGACTACTGTTTAAATAAAAGTCCTGTGCTGGAATTTCTCCGCTGTCAAGGGGGTGTGGGATGAGCAGCACCCCGCCAGTAGCCTCTGAGTTGTGGGGAAACCTGCCCCAAGGAGGTGCAGACGTGGGTATCTGGAGGAGGCTGCAGAGACCCAAACCGAGCCCAGGCTGCTCTCCACACAGCAGTGAGAGCTGTGGGTTGTGTCTGAGCAAACACGGTGCTGCCTCTGCTCCAATGGGTGCAAACACAGATTCAAAAAGCAAAGAAATACATATCTGGGGGGGCAAATGGACATCAAGGAGGCACCGAAAGAGAAGTGCCACTGGGACAGATATGTGCCATCTTCCAGCCCCTCTCCATCTTTTGCTATCTCTCTTCCCTGTTTCCAGTCTTGTTTGTGCTAAAAAAAAAAAAAAAGGCTCTTTAATTTTTGTGCGATCTAAGTCTTTCTTATCAGTATTTTCTGCTGGTCTTGCTGTGCTTGTAACCTTTTTCCTTTGTGCCAATTTAGCTGTTTCTGTTTTCTTTGAGAGCTTTTCAGCCATGCTTATTGCACCAAGTACCTGCATCTCTGCCGGTAATGAAAATGTTGTATTGTAAGGAATATATATTGTAAGGAATATATAACAGCAGACCAAGTGAACATTATGTAGGATAAGTAGTTCATGATCATCACTTACCTCACAAATGTGTGTTCTCGCTTACTCATTTAGTTTATAGTTTGGCGTGTTGACTAGTGCTCCAATACTGTGTGAATGAGTTTCTGACCAGCCTGTATTTCTCCCACAAGAGGGTCTTTTCTATTTACTGCAGCATCAGCACTGTAATTATTTCATGGAGTTCCTTGCATTTATGTTTCCTCTTCAATTCCTGAATATAAATGCCGACTCAAATGAAAGTGCTTCAGTAAGTGATAAAAGCAGCTTTTGGTGTCCCAGATATATCAGGCTGCAGCCCCCTCCTGCAAAACTGCTACACAAAAACAGACTTAATTTCTTATTCAAGTCCTGCCTCCTAAGGAAGTCCTTTGGCATAGGTAACCCTCGTTTTTAAATTGCCTCATGTCAGAAAATAGTATTTGAGAATGCGCAAAGAGTTTGAATGACTGAGCTGCTCTCAAAGGAGACTTTCCCTCTCCTGTTACAGTTAAATGCCTCTCTTATCTGAAGGACTCAAATTTGTTAAATCAGAGAGGAATGTTAAAGGTACCTCTCATCCAAGAGCATTTCCCTGGCTAATGTGTTTGTCCTGAAGGTTCCGTAAATAGAGGCAAAGGAGCCCAAGGGGGGATGCAGATGCCCAAAGGAGTTATACAGAGGGAAAGGCCTCCATGCCTTACGGATTCCGCTTTTTACTGCAACTCCAGACCACATGTGGTTCATGATGATCTAAGCGAGACCCCTTCACTGATAGCAAGTGATAGCACAGCAGTCTAGATGCAGAAGATTGATGCATTTTCCTGTTACTTTCTCCAGCTATCCAGCTGCATGGATTGGTGTGTGACTGATCACAAGTGACACGCACCAGTGCTGGTTTCCTGCTCGGAGGAAGCCCTTGTAGGCCAGTCGGAGCGGTTTCTGCTGACTTTCAGTGGAAAGGGCAGTATTTGCTCAGAGTTTTTGGTCAGAGCACTTCCCAGCACAGCAGCAGACCTTGCTGTCTGCCCGGCACCATGCGGCGGCACGAGCCGTGTCGCGTGCTGGGGGGACAGTCCGCGAGGGCACAGTCAGCAGCTCACCAGGTTTGGAGTGTATCTCTGTGGTGCCTGGGCTTATCACAGCTAGGAGCTTTTCGGGGTTTAGTTTCTTCTCAGTCTTCTCAATTTCCCGAGATAACTGTGCCCATCATTTTTAATGCGTGGCATTTTGCACCAAAAGTGAATTTCATTCAGGAATTTTTGCAAAATTAAAATCTTACATTAACTGGGATTTGCAGGACCTGAAAATGTCCTGAAACAAACAATTCTTAGGAGTATTCCAGTATGTGCATGTGGCTTTTTGCTGAGGTTCATTTCAGTTCTTCTTCTGCATTACAGAAATGAGATGTGTTTAGCTACATAGAGTCAGTTCCTTCCAAAGGGACAGCCTTGGGTGGCTGTATTATCAAACAAAAAATCTTGGCAGAAACTTACGTTCTTAATCCAGCCAGATAGTTTGTACCCAGAGCATTGTCCTCCCTCAAAACATTCGTGCATAGCATAAGAAAATTGCAGATTCCAAAACCCTTTTCATTGCATCTTTAATTTAATTTAGAGTTTGCATGCCTAATAGTATTTTTAATATGCATTTCTGGAATTTGTGGTCTGAGCTTGAGGAAAATATTAAGTTTTATGCAGGGAACGTGTTTGGATCTAGGCTTATTTTGACTGAAGGAAATGATTTGTCAAGATACTTTCTCTTCTCTATGGAAATGAAGGCCTGTGTTTTCTAATTAATATTCCTATGTTGGATGTCCATACAGTTTTTCAATGTTATACATGCATTCTTATGATGAATTGTCACTAGAAAAGGTATTACAAAAGCTACCTTAATCAGTAGGAAGCTTCTGGAGTTTGAGGTCTTTATGTAAGAGTCTTCATGGAATGGAGTGGTTTGCTCTGGTGACAAGACTAAGAGTGGAATGGAGCCTGCAAAAGGAATAAACACTCTAATTTCTCTGTTGCCTTGAGGCACAGTACCACAGCATTTTGTTTTGCCAACTTTCATGTTCATCATCTCTGCAGTTAGTTCTTTAACCCTGTTTCACTGCTTACAGTAATTATGACATGAATTACTTTAATATTTGAGCAAGTAACAGTTCCAGCGACCTTCTTTTTAGGTAAATATTTAGATCTTACTCAAACTCCACATGGTATCTGTAATTAAGGGGTGAGCTTTTTTTCCTCTTAAGGTTAATGCTGTGTTTTATTCAGGTAATAAGAAGTGTAACATGGGAGAAAGGGGTAATATGGGGAGGTGGATAAAGAGAATCTTTGTAAGGTCTCGTGTATTGATTTAATTGCTCTTGTAGTCTAAATGAAGACTGTTAAATGTAGCATCAGAATTGCAGGATCTGTGGAATTGTAGTATGTGTGCAATCAGTACCGTCGTGTGAATGAAAATGGCTAGGAGAGATGGCGAGATTAAGAGAATAACTCTCAGCACACAAATACCCAGTTCAGCAATGCATCCGCCTGAGGCTTTTTGTACAGACTGCAGACTCCCGAGGAGCTCGAGAGCTGTGTGCCTGGGGAGCAGCGGTTAACAGGGAGTGCAGCCAAGGAGCAGCCAGCCTGGAGACGAGGTACAGGACGGGCACAAAGAGGAGCAGAAGAATCAAAAGATGCAAGAGGGCAGCCGCGGCAGCGGTGGAAGCGGGGGAACCGCGCGGCGCCCGGGCACGGAGGCACCTGCTCTCCTCCGCCGAGCGAGCGCGGCCGAAAACCCGCGCGGCAGCGAGGAGAGGGGGCAGAGAGGCTGCAAGAGCAAGCGGAACCGTTCTCTCTGCCACGCTCCAGAGCCAAACGTTTGGAGTGCTTCGTACTCGAAGGCAGGTGGTGTTGCAACCAGAGCGATTGCCCAGGCTGGGCTGGCCTGGCCCTGCGAGGCTCCGCGGCGCCGGGCACTGTCCATGGCATTATCCGTGCAGTGAGTGCTGTGGGGAAAGAGAGAGGGCGAGCACCCAGCAAACTGATCGTGCTTTTAGAAATGCTTTGGGGGAACTAACGGAAAGGATTACCCTCGCGTTTAGAAACAGAACGTAGCGTTATCGAGTCTAAGCTGAAATGGAATGTTGGCACCATTTTAATGATAATTAGGAAAAAGAAAAAAAGGAAAAAGGATTTTGTTTGGGCTAAAATTTTCCTAACTAGTTATGCCCCAGTCAGAGAAATATTGAAAACTTTGAAGTGAAATGAGCTAAAACTGATCTGCCACAATAATGAACCTGATTTATTTTCATTGGTCTAATTGTGAAGGATCGTACATTGCACTGATGAAAAAACATTATTTATGATTCTTTCCATTACTGACCTCAGGCAGGGATTCTCACATGTTTAGACTAGACCCCTTCTGCTAGATCATAATTTACCCCTCATTCCTTAAAGCCCTAAGCACATGTGTATCCAAACTATGTGTCTACTCAAGTACTGCCCACCCACTCCGGGAAAGGAAGGAAAGGAATGAAGAAAGAATGGCAGGAGACGAAATCAGACTTCATGGGAAGCTCCTGTAGATTTCAGACTCCATATCCCTGCAAATGTTCATTATTTCTAACCTGACATTATTCTCCTTTGGTCTCCTGTTCCATTGCTGTGGGAACGCAACCAGTGTCCCATGAAATTTTGGAGATAGAACGAGCAGCTACAAATAACGCTGTCTGTCATTTTACAGGTGAATCGCCCTCACCCTGGTGATCATCCTCTTCTGATTATCTACATGATTGGTGGAGTCACAGTCTCTGAAGTCAAAATGGTGAAGGACCTGGTAGCAGCACGCAAACCTGGTACCCAGGTAAAAAGAGCTCTAAATATACAGTTTCTGTCTGAACAAAAACTTAGAAAATTCATCAGCTAAAATTGATTGTAGTATTGGTACCAAATCTACACCAAGTCACAGCCATATGGACAGTAATGGTGTTAGGATTTTGCTGTGAAATATCCATCCATAACAAGTGTTCAGGCTCAAGGGTCTGTTTTTTCACGTGCTAGAGTCAGCAATTAAAGTTCAAACTCAGGCTGGAGTCTTGGTCTTCAGGTCAGATTAGCATTGTTCTGAAGGAGATCTCATAGTGTCTCAAAAGATGCATGTGTTGGAGTTCTTTCTAAGCAGAAACATTTTCTGTCCAAGAGGCTGCAAGCTCCTGGGTAGAGCATCTACCAGGCATAGTGCTAGGATGCCCAGAAAGGACCAAGGACCTGGGTACCATCCAGTGACCTGTCAGATGTAATGGACCACACGAGTTAATCAGCACTGCCGAGGAGCAAGATAGATTAGCCTGGATACAGCTGTACTTCCTCTGGACCAGATCGTGAGCCTCTGAGTGTCCTATTAGACATATCTGGACAGCCCCATCGAGTACATCAGTGAGCAGATAGGGCTCTCTGTCTGTTTAAGAGCCAGATAGGGGCAGAAAAGTTTTAGGATGAGAGGCTTAAAGAGAAAAGGCATGGGACCTAGGAGTCGTACATAAAATTTGCAATTAAAAAGACTGTGTTCATCTTAGGATGCCAAAAATAGAATACTTCAGCCATGGCTGAAGGGCAGAGTTTACCAAGCAACCTGTGCTTTTGAACCCTCACAAGACTACCCCCATTACCCCTTTGCCCTCTCATTCCACTCCACTGATAAGTGGCTTGCACCTCTCCTCTGAAATCTTGACAAACAAGATCCATGTCTGGATACCCTAAACACTGACCCTCAGGCCGTTTTCCTTTTGTTTCTCTTCCAAGATTAAAATGCCAGCTGCCGAGAGTGCAGCCGCCGAGAGGTTGGCCCCCTCCGACACCCTGCCCACATCACAAAACCAGACCCTGTCCCAAGGAGGCTCTGGGCAGGACAGTCAGACACAAGTAAACAGGCAACATTTCACCAAGTTTTCTAAAAAATACCCATCCTTGGGAGGAAGATGGATGGGCTCCAGCAGCACCTAAGATGTTAGAAAGTGTTAATTGTGGAAGAACATGTACAAAAGCAACTGGCTGTCTGCTGGGTAGTGCAGATGTACAGGGTGATCCGAAAACGGCAGAAAGATGCAAGAAGTGCTGGGTAAGCTGCTGCCTCATAAACGTAAGTGTGGTTTCCAAGGTGGCTTGTAGACATCCTGTTTTCTATTCCTATGGAAGTCAGATGCAATTAGTAAGAAATCACCAGCAGGATGCAGCCAACCAAGCTGACCCACCCCCAGATTTCATATGTGTTTTCCACATTTTAGTTTTCTTTGCAAAGCAGTCTTAAGCTGTGTTTTATAAGATTGAATACTAACTTTAAGCATTTTTTTTTCATCTGATAACACGTTTCTCCCCAGTTAGCCTGTTGCTAATCTCCTCAACACAGCGAATAAAATTCTTTTGCATCTTGAACAGGGATTGAACTGTGACACACTGATGGACAAGTTAATCCACTCCTTAAATGTATTAATATGCCTTGAAAGATAAGCACTGAGTTAACAAGCGAGTTGGTTGAAAACTATGCAGTAAGACTTCTGACTAACTTTCCAGGGGGAATTGAGGCTTGACAGTGGTGACACAGGATCTGGTGTTGCTTTGCTTTGGCTTAACCCTGGTGGCAGGTCACCCTCTGAGGCAGATTCCTGAAGAATTTTAAGCTTTTACTGCATCTTGCCCTTTGTCCAAATGTGCCATGGTAGAGGTGAAAAGACTTTAGGGGAGAGTCTAGAGGAGGAAGAAAAAGAAAAAAAAAGAAGCGGTTGTTTAAGTAAGTCTCCCGTGTAAAAATGTTTATGAGTTAGCTGGATTTACCTGGATTTCTGCTCTGCAGCTTGTGAATATGTGCCACCTGTTTGGGATTATTCTCTTTTCAAGACGCCAGGCATTTGTCTAACCCGAGCCAGAAGTGAACAGAGCCTCTATTCTGCAGTGCTCAGGCAATCAGCTCCGGGCATCGGGGCAGGAGGGAAGCGCTGGCCCCGCAGCCCCGTCCCGCTCAAACAACGCGCTGGCGTTGGCAGTAATTCCTGGCTCTGGAGAAGCAGAAAGGTGTGCGGGTACAAAACCAAAGAGCTGAATAAGGTGACAGAAAAGCTGACAGGATGCACTAATTATTCCAGCGTTTGTTTCTGGCCTCCATAGCTCAGCTGTCTGCGTGAGCAGCATCCCTTGTGTAGAGCATCAAAGGCAGCCACAAAGTATTGCATAAGGAGAAGGTCTGCCAAGGCAATTTACCACCCTGAAGAGTTTTACCTTAAAAAAAATAGAGCCATTTCTTTCCTGGACAGTTTACCCATTCTCTGTAAAAATGAGAGGACAACTAGTCATATTTATCTCCATGTAGAACCCTCACAGATAGCAGGGGGCAAGGAGGGAAGTCCCACACTATTTGGCTTTATCATTGCTCATAAGTTAAAGTTTGTGGTTCTCATTTTTCTGCCTGGGCTTGTTATCAATTGCACAAATCCCCTCGTAGTTTAATGGTAGGACTCCAGGATGAAATTGCTTTTATCTGGCAGTGGCTGCTGCTGTTGCTTGGCTTGTAGACCAAAACTCTGGGTAATGTGCCCCCTCGTGTTTTTCAGAATGAAGCTGGATGTTAAGGAGATGAGCACATACTGTGTTATACATTCTCACATAACATCAATAAGATGGTGCCAGCTTTTGGCACCTGCAAATTACAGAAATAGTTTTTCAGCCATAAGAAGCAGAAGAGAGAATCAGTGTCACTTTGCTGCGGATTCTGTGGGAAGATACGGGAAGAGGGGAAGCGACAGGGAGATGACAAGAGATCTGTAGTAATTTAACTCCAGATTCTTTTCATTATTTTAAGTGAAAAGATGAAAGAAAGAACAACATGGGAAGAGGGGAAGCGACGGGGAGATGACAGCGGTACAAAGAGATCTGTAGTAATCTAACTCCAGATTCTTTTCATTATTTGAAGTGAAAAGATGAAAGAAAGAACAACATAAAGTTGAAATGTAGTACTACCAAATCCTAAACTGCATATGTCTCCTAAGTATTCCTTTAAAATCACCTGCACTATTAGACTCTACAGGCCACACATTAGAGCTCTGTGATGAAGAGCACAAGCAATTTAGTAACTGCTGTGGGAGACACACAGAAACACACTCACACAGTGTTGATGGTGCTTATGCTTTCTTTGGGGGGAAGGAGCAAATCAGTTTGAAGTGGGCTAGTAAAATAAATCCGCTGCCACGTCTGCTTGATAGCCCTGCGTCCTGGCGGCGGTGACAGTGCTGAGTGAGGCGCTTTGGAGGAGCGGCTGTCCTGTGACTTTGGGAGCCACCTGGCCCTGCATTAGCTCCTTGGTAGCCTGCCCTGCAGCCAAGCCCTTCACCACAGCCCTGCGTGTTGCCTGTCACTCGAGAGAAACAGAGTCAGCGTGCGGCCACCAGCGCCCATCTTCCGTGTAGCGACAGGTCCGTTCAGGGGCCCGTCCTGCGTTAGGAATTTAACAAACAAACACGGTAACGTCCCGAGAGTGTCCGAGGGTGAACTTGGATCACGCTGTGCAGAACCAAGGGTGTCTTGTCTGAAGAGACGTTTCTCGAGCGGGGCTGGGGTCCCCTGGGCGCCGCAGCAGCACTTCTGCAGCGCTGGCCCTGCCTCAGACAGGGAGCAGGGAGCTGCCAGGGCTGCTTTACCAGGAGGAAAGCGCTGCTGGAGCATCCAGCCTGGCGGGCAGCAAGTCCCTGGGGAAGGTGTGGGTGGAAGTGAATCCAAGCACACATTCCTTAAGGGTACAATGCTACAGGTCATTATGTTCCTTAGGAGATTTAACTACAGGTATTAGCCAGCAGGCACTATCACTGGACAAGCTGTATTGCCCTGTCAGTAAGGAACAGAAACACACGCATGACATAGCTAGCGTGGCATAAGCAAACAAAAAAAAATGTGTCTGCACGTCTCGCTTATGCTGCCGTCAGTCTCAGAGCCCTCAGTTTTGATATGCTGTTTCTTTTCCCCCTTCTCCAGGTGCTCGTGCTGTCCCCAGCACTCCTGACACCACTGGGTGTTATCGAGATGTTGTTTGCCTCGAAGCATCTCCAGTCTGATACTGATATGTGACACAGGGGGATCTGTGGAGAAGATAAGTGATGCTTTGGCTGGAAACATCAAATCCTTGGTCTGCCACACTTTTTCCAGTATTCCCATCACTGAAACGAGGTGGAGCAGCAGGGTTCCTGGCTGCAAAGAAACATGTGAAGTTTATGAAGAGCACTTAAAAATGGTTCAGTTGTCCAGTGACCAACACTCTCCTCTTTAAAGATAACATAGCGTGACCCTGAATCACGCAGTATACTCTGGCCTTCCCCCAGCCCCATGCAATGCAAGCAAGGACAGCTGCTTGCAGTAATTCCCTAGAAAAGGGGAATGTGAGAAGTCCTGCCGGACCGCAGGCTGCTGCATTTGCCCTCCCTGAGCAGACCTTTTCTCTGTGAGCAATCCTGGAGGTTGCAGCGGGGTTGCTCCTGGTGGGAAATGCTGCTGAGGGAGGAAGGGGCTAGGGAAACCCACGCTCTTGGTCACGTTACCTGGCGAAACACGTGTGCCTTATGGAGCACTAACAGCCTCTGCTCTTGGTTCGTCCCTCCTGGCCACTGGTGCTCCCAGCTCCGCTGGTGGGAGCAGAGAAACGGAGCCAGGGTCAAGTGCGGTTACGTGGATCCTTCTCTCCCAGACCCCTAGTTCCTGCCCTGCTTTCTCCACCCACAGCTCCAGGAGAAAAGACTGTTTCTGATGGCACACTTCTCTCTAGTTTTGCACAGTAGGACATATGGGCTGTGATGGTTTAATGTTAACCTGGAAAAATGTTCCTCTCACATGCATTTAAAAAAGGAAAAAAAAAAAATGTTCCCACTTCCAAGAGGCTGTGGTGGCAGATTCTTTATGAGCAGTTTTTGATTTGTGATCATGAAAGAGCTGCTACCAAACTCAGTTATGTAATTATTCTTCATAAAACTTTGATATAAGCCAGGATAAAAAAGCATCAGCCAGTAGATATCATGAGACTTCAAAATTGCAGCAGGAAATGGTGGAGCTGCAAAGCTGCATCCTCCTGGTTCATTCCAGAGACACTAAGACTGCAGCTTACATTGAGAATGTGAAAGTGAAATTATATATGAAATTTGCTCAATCGTAGCATTCTTTATTATGCCAAATGAATATAAAGAGGAAGTAGCTTTTTAACCTTTGTTCAGTAGCTAGCTTAAGTTCTCTTAAATGTTTATAATGGTCTTCAGAAAAGGCTGAATTTTGATTTAAACTCTCTCTTGAGTGGTTAGAAGGGAACAATGAACTGATTATAAAGCAGGGACAATGTTGCCTCTATGGTAAAGAGATTTATAAGAATCGCTATGGAATGGAACTTTGTGCTATAAAAAATGAGAAATATTATGAGATTGTAATGTTAAAAGCTCAAGAAATATTTAATAGAGCAACTGGAAAGCAAATAGCCAGTCCCTATCTTTCTTGTTTTTTTTGGTTTCTTGTTTTGGGGGTTTTTTGTTTTGTTTTGTTTTCATTCTATACTGTTAATCTTAGAATATAGATGTTTTGGAAATTCTGCAGTCAATAAAGCAAAGCTGCTGTCTTTGAGCCCAGCCTCCGGCCTCTGCTCCTTCCCTGTGGCCACAGGGGCTGTACTGGCCATGTGGGCTGTACGTGGCTGTGCGGGGTGTACGTGGCCACACGGGCCGTACGTGGCCGTGCAGGGTGTACATGGTCTCGCGGGCTGTATGTGGCCACAGGAGCTGTACGTGGCCACGCAGGCTGTAGGTGACCATGCAGGGTGTACGTGACCATGCAGGGTGTACGTGGCCGTGTGGGCTGTACGTGGCCGTGCAGGCTGTACTTGCCCTTCTGCGCTGTTCGGCCGTCCCTCGGAACCGAGCGCTCGTGTCCCGGGAGGTGTCGGGAGAGGCTTCCGTCCCTGCTGGCCGCAGAAAGGCTTTGCTCCCCCAGGGCTCATGGCCAGCAGCCCCAGGGACTGAGGTGCCCCCGTCCCTACCTGAGATGCTGCTTCCCTGACTCGACGGAGTCTGGCGGTGGTGGTCAGCTCTCACCACGTGCTCTCCATCCTCTCCTGGCCGTTTGAGGATGTCCTGCAGAGGATAATGAGAAGAGCTGGTTTCAGGGGACACTAGTGGCACTTCTTACAGGTGAAGCAACTCCCTGGCCTGGAGGCAATGGCTGTTTTCCAGGCTCCCTCATGGGAGGGACCTTTTCAGCCTGTGGCCACATAGCTGGAGGTGGCTGCTGGGGCTCTGCTACCATCTCGTTTGTCCAGAACAAGACAGACTTGGAGTCTTTGCAGAGGCTCTCACTAATACACAGCTCAGGATTTGTAGGAAACAGCTGTAGCAGCTGCACCTAACGTGTGCTGGGGACAGGCTGTGTGTTCTCCTGCCCTGCAAGACCTTTCCCCGGCCCTTCAGCTGCTGGAGGGACACGGCCACGTGCAGGAGCAGCACAGAAGAGGCTTCACCTATGCAAACGCCCTTCAAGGTGGGTGCAGGACCACAGCAAGGAGTGTCTAAGCTCTTTGGATGTGACACCAAACTAAAAAGGGATGGGGAAGGAGAAGTACAAGGCCACTCTTAGCAAGGGCAGGTGCTACTAGAATAAGCTAAGCAGTATTTGGTGAGAAGCTCAGGCTGGATGGGCAGGCTCAGCTTTGTTCACAATCCTAATCCTAACCCAGATGGTGAGGCTGGGGTGGCAGCTCCTGGTCAAAGCAGCAGCAGGGCCTTGTCATTGCTCCCCACACCGCGGATCCTGCCGTGGGGCAGGCAGGGCAGTGCAGGCACAACACCTGCCCAGCAAGAGGAGGCAGCAGGCGCTTACATAAAGTGCCTTATAAATGAGCAAAACATCTGCAGACTTGCAATAACTTGATTTACTTCTTCATTGCGTTAGATTGCTCAATATACAAAGCTGTTCTGCCACCTTTTTGTGTTCTGCCAGTTTCGACCTAGTTTACATCTTTCTTCTTAGCTTTTTGACAAAGAAGAATCCAGTTCTGTTTTGTAGGGTCTCTGTGTTTGCTGCTTTCTCTCCTGAAAGAATTTCCTGCAAGAGAGTTGTAAAAGGGTTGTGAGAGCTTCCCCCCTGCAGATCATGCTAATAGAGTAACAGGCAGCAAAGGGCACCTTAACTCTGTTTCTGCAGTGTATGTTGACTACCCTGAGAAAACGGTTGCTTCTGTCTCAGTGTTTCACGGGTTATTAACAGTTGCTTCCAATATACATGAAAAACACTCATGAAAACATGCAATTCAAAAAAAAAAGTTTAATGCTGAAACAGGCAGTAAGAATGCAAAGTCTGCTCCAGATGAGGAGTTAACTGTACACAAAATAAATAAGTTACAGTTTACACAAAAGCACAACCGGCTTTTTAAAGTGCATGTGTATAAGGCCTTTTGCCTGTGACCTCCATGGGCTCAACGCGGGGCAGCCCGTAACGGGGGGCAGCCCGTAACGCGGGGCAGCCCGTGACGGGGGGCAGTCCGTAACGGGGGGCAGCCCGTAACGCGGGGCAGTCTGTAAC